CAGATGTTAGCAAAAGGAAAGAAATAATAGATAAGAGCAGATATAAATAAAATAGGAACTAGAAAAACAAAAGAGCAACAATATGAAGAGTTGGGTTTTTGAAAACAGAAAAAAACTTACAAATCTTTAGCTAGAGTAACAAAGAAATAAGAAAAAGACTCATATAAATAAAATCAGAAGTGAAAGTAAAGACATTATAACTGACACCACAGAAATTCAAAGAATTATAAGACACTGCTATGAAAATTATATGCCAAAAATTGGATAAACTTGAAGAAATGCATAAATTCCTAAACACATACAACCTACTAATAAATAGAATCAAAAAAATAGAATTCGAGTGCAGATATCTTTTTTGTAGAGTGTCTTTTGTTCTTTTGGGATGGACATGCTTGAAGCTCTGACTCGGGAGTGGGGGAGGGAGGGGCAAGGGCAATATACGTAACCTAAACATTTGTACCCCCATAATATGCTGAAATAAAAAAAAAGAGTACTGGCTCTGGAGCTACAAACTGTGAGTTCAAACCTTAGAAATACCACTAGACCCAAGAGTCTTAAAATGGCTTAATCTCTTAAAACTCTCCATCTCCTCAATTTAAAAGGTTGATAAGCACAGAAATAAATGTTAGTAATCTTTTTCCTTGCCTGACAACCAGAAAGTGAGCACGAGGCCTACATAAAGCACATAATGAATAATTAAAGTGTGGATAGTCAGAAATGAATAACAATTCTGTAAATTAATCTATATCATTATCACAGATTTTTGTTTTCTTTGTAGGAATACTGAAACATTATTCTTACATAAATAGATATGCAATATCATGAGGCCTTAGGGTGAGATAAGACTGTTTCCATTTTAAAAATCTATATAATAATTCATCTGCCTCACCAACTGTAGAAATTTTATTTTTATCTGACCAGAACTCCAGTGATGACAGCACAACAGTAACTTTAAATTGGGTGAACATCTAAAAACAGAAGAGATAAATACATGCAAAATTAATGTCATGTTATTTTATAATAACCTAGAAATTAATACAATGTTTTCACAATTCCACACTCAGTTTATATCAATGACTTAATTATCAGAAACAACACATCTAGTTAATGCAAATTATAATTCAGAAACAAAGAATTTTTTATATGATAAAAAAATACTTACTGAATTTACAAGGCCAATAATTTCGATGACTTTCTTTGTT